CTGCTCCTCTCCAGGTGCAGCGCTGGAACGAGCAGATCAAGCAAGGGACTTTCCCAGGCAAAATCTGACCGCCGAGCGCGGTGTTCCCAGCCTTCAGCGCCGGTGGCCCGTCTACTCGTGTCAGGAAGACCGGCCTTAGTTACCACCCCCCCAGTCTAAGCCACCAATAAAGTTGTGCTGTTGCTAGTGTTCCTTGGTGATTCATGGGGGTGGGGCAGGGCTCTGGGGGCCTGAGTCCCAACACTGCTTTTTCTGATAACGGGTGATGGGCAGGGTCAGGACACCGCTCCCTCAGGAAGGGCAGTCAGGGCTCTAAGGCAGGAAGACAGGAAAAAGTCAGGGGCTCCCGTGCCCCGATTTGATCCAGCCAAGATGCGCGTACCCCAGTATACCCAGATGGCTCCAGCGAGTCGTGCCTCTCAATCTCCACATCTACCTGTCACCCAAGTCTTTATGCCCAGGGCTCAGCCTCCTCCCCTCCTGTCTGGGTCATCTCCTTTACCTTCCCCCACCCCTTCCACCCTGTCCATCCAGTCTCCAGTTCTGAGGGGTCTTCATATTGCCCAGAGCTGCCCACATTCCTCCCTGCTCACCCTGCTCTGAAGCTTATCTGCTTTCCACCATGTCCTACCCGCCACCTTTTTCCTCTCTGAGCATCACTGTGCCAGTCACATGAGCCCCCTTTCCTAGTAGGGTTCCTGGGATGTGTCATGTCCATCCTTTCCATATCCTGAGGGACAGCAGCAGCAGCCTCCTCTGTTCTCTAAGCAACAGCACCCCCTACCCCCGTGTGAGTACATGTGCACACAAATGACCCCATCTGTCCCTCTCCCAACTTGGCACTTTGGTTTCTCCCAATGCCCCTTTGGGAAGCTCGGCTTCGGCTGAATCCTTGCTCTTTCCCCATCCACAGCAGCTGCGGAACCAAGCTGCTGAGTTGTTCTGGTTCCAGGTGTTCCTTGAACTGTGGCCTCTCCCCAGGCCAAAGAGTGATCCTTGACAGAGCCCAAGGGTTCCAGGCTGGTCCTTCCCTGAAACTTGCTGCTGCCTAAGACTATCAACCTCAAATGAAACTTCTGAAGGAAGCCCTACATCCTGATCCAGGTGGCCTCAAGAGGCCCTGCTCAACCCAAGGCTCAAAGGTGACTATGACAAATAATAACTCATTGGGTGACCCAGCTGTAGATGGGTTATGTTATCAGAATAAGCAGGGCAGGAGGGGCTGGTCAGTTCAGAGGACTAGCTCCATCCCACCCTCACTCCATGATGACCTGTCCAGCATCCTGCCCAGGGCACATCCCACAGGAACCATCTCCTTGGATGGCCTCCTACCTTCCTGCCTCTGAGAAGCAGGGTGTGGACATGGCTATGGTGGGGGGGACCACATCTGGTCACTGAACAACCCCAAAGCCACAGAGGTGGCACTAATGCTGGAAGGGAAGCCAGAGGGCAAGAACCTGGAGTCAAGCAAGGTTGGCTGTCTGAGGACTTAGTGAAGTCACCCAGGTAGTGTCCAGAGCACAGGGTCAACACCTGTGCAGCCATGACTAACTTTCTCCTTCCCAGAGCCAGTGTTCTGAACTTTCTTTCTGCCTGAGGCTGCCTCCTCCTCTCCTCTCCTCCCCACCATCATTTGGCCACTTCCTGGTCTCTTATTCCTGGCCTCCCCTGCCAGGGCCTGACTTGCCTTGCTTCAGCCTGGTGGGCCATCCTACCACAAACCTCGGCCAGCTATTCCTGCCAAAGGCACCCAGTGTGGCTGCCTTCGAAGTCTTCCTTCTCCTCCTCCTCCCAGCCTACTGACAGGCACTCTGCCTTGGTCACACTTGTTCCAAAGGCCCTGAAGTTCTGTTTCCCTCCATCTCCATCCCATGACGCACTGCTGCCAGCTTGCTGTTCCATGGCTCCCAGCAGGTTGGTTCTGGCATCTGCATCTTTCCCATCCCAAAGGAGCCTGGATGGGCTCTGACAGTAGGTGCAACTGGACTGCAACTGGCCAGTCACATGACCCGGGATAGACCCCCTAGACCCTTGTACTGTGAACTTTCAGCCCCAATACGGTGATGATACCCATGCTTCCCAGGGCTGTGGGAGAGGGTGGAGAATGCAGAGAAGCTAGATGAGCCCAGCTGTCCTCAGCGTGTGGGCTGTCTACAGAAACAACTGGAGTCACCAGCAGAGTACAGAATTCAACTCTGGTGTGTCTGATTGTGCTGGACAGTGGGGGACTAGATGGGCAGAGGGATGACCCATCACTACAGTCCTGTAGCTCCTGGAGGCATCTGGTCTACTTGAGCTCAGCACAAAGGGTCACAAAGCACTCCCACAGGTAGGAGCTGAGTCTAGAATGGAGGGTTGTCATGACAGGGCCCCTGCCCGCCAAGTCTGAGAATAGTACAGGTGCCTGGCACATGACAACACCTGGGTTCCATGTTGTCTTTCACCGTTTTCTGTTTTAACTCCTATCTGCTTCTGACTACCAGTCTCTCTGTTCCTTCCCAGTTTCCTGCTGTCCCCACACATATGATGGAGTCCTGAGGCCTGGGACTTAACCCATCAACCCTCAGACAATTCCCTCTTCCCACGCAGTTTCTTCCTCTCTGGTGACTGAGCCACCATGTAAGCTCATGACATCTAGCTCCAGCTCCACTGGAATAACCTCCAGGTCCCACCAGTGGGCTAGTGCCCAGAGCTTTCCTGTGGCACCCCGTGGTCAATGTGGAATCCCAGCCAGGGAACATTGGGTAGGGCTACCCTTACCCTCTCCATGTGTTCCTGTCTATATAAAAGATAACCCTGGACATACTTCACCTCTCAGGGCTGTGCTGGCAGCCCATCTCGATACATAAAGAGTGCCATCTTCTCATGCTGGGGACCGACTCAGCGCATCACACATGCTAAGCAGTACTCTACTTGAGCTGCACCCCCAGCCCTAACTCTTTGTTTTTAGTGTTCTAACCACTGATTTTTAACCTTTTTTTCCCTTGGGTTGTGGATACTTTTTTTTTTTTTTTTAGTTGTAGATGGACAACCATACCTTTGTTTATGTGGTGCTAGGGGATCAAACCTGTGCCTCGCACATGCTGGGCAAAACGCTCTACCACTGCCACAACCTGGCCCAGGTGGATATACTTCTGAGACTTTGATGAAGGCTGTGAATCCCCAGGAAAAAAAGTTCACATGAATAAGTATTCCGAACATAAACTAGACTAGGGTTTCAAGAGGTGTGTAGAAGTTCCGGTCTCCAGTCCACAAATCATGGGATAAGAACCCCTGCTCTGCTATCATTCTGGGTTTTTGTTTGTTTGTTTGTTTTAAGCATTCTGTCTAGAAACAGTGGTGACAATGCTCTTGTAATCCCAGCAGTTTGGGACACTGAAGCAGGAAGAGGAGAACTCAAAGCCAGTCTCAGCAACTTAGTGAGGCATTTAGCAACTCAGTGAGTTTCTAGTCTCTAAGAAAAAAAAAAAATACAGAAAAGGGCTAGGGATGTGGCTCAGAGGTTAAACACCCCTGGGTTAAATCCCCAGTATCAAAAAGAAAAAAAAAAAAAAAAGGTAATTGCTTCAATTTCTGTAGGAAGTGCCCATTATAGCAAAGATCTCTCCTCTTTCCCTCATAACTGCTGAGTGACCTGGAGTCCCCTCTTCCTCATTAGGAACAGGAGGGAGAAACAGCAGAGTTTAACAGGAATGGCACTGTAAGAAAGATTTCCCTTTGCAAAAGGAATGATAGACCCAGTCAATCTATGCAAGTAAATTTTATATGAAAAAACATTTCTGAAGTCCACTGCCAAGGTACCCTGCCCAGACCATCCACAGCCCACGTGGCCCAGTGCTGCCTCCACTTTCCTATAGGTTCCTTCTCTACTAGGCTGAGGGTGGGCTAATACAGATGCCTGGGGCCTTGCCCGCCCAGGGTGACTGTGTCCACAGCTGGCTGACATGGAGGAAAAACACAGGAGCCTGCAGCCCACACGTGAACTGTAGAAGTTAGTGTGGTCTACCAAGGACATCTGTGAGGTGCTCAGGGGAAGCCTAGAGTCTGTGAAGTGCTGGCCAGTCAGCAGCTGAGCCATTACTATTCTCTCCTGTCAAACAAGGCTTTAGGGTTGCTGTGAGTTAACAGAGGACAACAAAAATTAAGATATCGCGTTGGACTTGAAGAAACAAGACATAGCAGGGGCTGGGGCGTGGCTCAGTAGCAAAGTGCTTGCCTTGCACATGTGAGGCGCTGGGTTCGATCCTCAGCACCACGTAAAAAATAAACATATAAAATAAAGGCATGCTGTCCATTTACAATTACAAAAAAGATTAAAAAAAAGAAAAGAAACAAGACATAGCAGGACTTATTGGCCCAAGCCTGTAATCTCAATGACTTGGGAGGCCAAGGCAGAAGGAAGGCAAGCTCAAGGCTAGCCTCAGCAACCTGTCTGAAACAATAAAAAGGTCTGGGGATGGAGCTGTGGTAGAGCACCCTGGATTCAATCCCCAGTACTGCCCCCCCCCCACCTCACCCACACATACAGGAAATGAGACCTGCTTGAGAGCAGAGGAAAGCATACCAAGGCCACCTCCTTGGTTGGCCAGGCCCATCCAGCTGAGTGGGGATGTCTGACTTAACAATTGAGAGAAGGGTGCTCAAGTCCCCTGTGCCCTGGGTAAGTCACTCTGCTTCCTGGACCTCAGTTACCTCATAGGGAAAACAGGAGAATCGTTTCCTCCTGAGTCAGAAGGCATTTTCAGGGAGCAGTCTGAAGGGGGCTTCTGCCTCCATACTCTGCGACCTCAGAACCCACTGCTCTTTACCCTTTCACGACAGCTCACAGCCCAAGGGCTGAGCCTCCTCCTCACCTCCCCAGCAGGCTGAGGTATCAAGAGATTTCCAAGGGTACTGCTTATAACAAGGTTTTTAATAAAATAAAAAGTTCAAGTGCTTCCAATCCCCCAACATACCCCATTCTGGTGTGGGGAATGGAGAGGCTCGCATACCCCAGTAGCACCAGGGATAGCACCATGAGAAAGATAAGGTCGCACCCGGCCTCCCTGAGACCTGTGGGGGTGGTGAGAACGTGCACAGACACCACGCCCCCAACCTGCCCCTACCTCACAGCTGCAGAGTCGGGAGTACATCCACTCCCCATCATGGGGGCATTCTCTAGGAGGGCCACCCCCGAGTCAGTTCTACCTCCTCATGAGGCCTGGGTTTCTGGGGAGATGCCATAGAGTGGTCCCCACCCACTATGGCTTTGCTCCCTGGAGTGGAAGGACTGAGGGGAGGGGATGGCTCCTGTGGTCCTGAGTGGGGGTAAGGGCAGCAAATGGCCAGGGCTCACTGCTGGGTGTGGGGGTGGCTCAGGGGTCAGCAGTCATACAGGGTCAGGTATCAGATCCCTAGGGATATCCTAACCAACCCTGTCCCAGGGTCAGAACTGTGCTGGAGTCAAGGGTCAGCTCCTCCTCAAGAGGTTCCTTCTGGGTCTGTGGGGTGTCTAAGAGAAAGACTTTCCCACCCTGCCTGGGCCCCCCTGCCTGATCAGTCATGGCTCTCCACTGTTGACATCCAGGTCAATGGAGCCATGATTGACCACCAGCCTCAGGCGCTTGGGCGGGGAGAAGGGGGCAAAGGCAAGGGCCTGCTTAGGGATGGGGATGGGGCTTAGGGCATCAGCTGGGGCAGGGGAGGCTGGTGGGGCAGGGGCCAGACGGCTGAGGTCCACACGCACCACATAAGGCAGCCCGTAGCGCCGGGCCCAGTGCCAGTCCTGCTGGGGGGCCCAATGGGTGCGAGGGGGAAGGCCCAGAGTCACCAGGGCCTCAGCCCGCAGGCGGCAGTGGGGGCCACAGCCTCCCCATCGGTGGAGGGAGATGTAGGCAGCACGGACAGTGGGGGGCATGGGGGCCTGACGGGGCCGGGGGCGTCGGCGTTTCCGGGGGCGCACTCGAGGCTGGGGCTTAGGCAGCCATTGGAGCCAGAGGGGTGAGATGTCCAAGCGGGGGCCGCAGGGTGGCAGGTGCAGGGGCTGACAGGCAGCTGAAGGGACACAGAGGGACCAGAGAGGGAGAGAAAAGGGAGGCCACATCAGGAGGGCCTGGGTAGGTCCTCCAATGGAAAATAGGTTTTTCTGCACCAGGCTCTTCAGAAAAGAAATGCAAGAAGAGGTGTTCAACAGCAGGTCTGAGAGGGCAGGAGGTTCCCATCGGTCTGTGCTCACCACAAAATGGGTCCCAATGCAGTGGGGAAAGGTGGGTGCAGGCCCGCGGGCCCAGCAGGTTCGGCCGGCTGCTGTCCATGCCTCGCTGCAGGCGTCGCTTGGTCTCCCGGAGCTCATACTTGTCCAGGAGCTGTGGTGGCTGCTGCAGCTCCCTGGGCTGCAGTCGAAAGGCTCCTTCACCTTTCCTGAGGGGCAAGTAACAGGGAGGCAAGGGGGCAGCTGGGGATGGATGTGCTCAGGGATTGGTCCTAGGATGCCTCCTGGGGCCAGCTGGCTTGTCCCCATCCCACCTGCCCCCAACCTGTACCCACCTCTCACAGGTGTAGCATTCACAGAGCTCATTCTTCTCCCCAAAGAAGCCCTCACCATAGAAGCATGTCACTTCATCCCCCGGCTCAATATCCCGCAGCACCTTCACACAAGCTGTGTTCCCATCTGCAGGCACAAACTGAGGCCGTGCCCACTTAGCACACCCGCCTGAGGCATAGGCTGGGCCTGACCTCCTCCCTCAGCCTAGCCAGGTAGGTTCAAGAGTCCTCTCCTGGAATAGGTCATGGCTGACCCACCAAGAAACACCATTCTGAGATGGCTACCCCATCCAGGGCCTGTCCTATGCTCGCAGCCTGTAAGCGATCTGTCTGCTGGCTGGTGTCCATCCCTCCCTGCAGGAAGAGATGAGCTGCCCTGACCTCCCAGCACAATGCAGCACTAGTATGGGTAACAGCTCCTTCCCGCACACTTCCTCAGGCTGCTCTGGCCTATGCCAAGACCCACCCCTGAATGCACCCCTACAGCTGCTCACTGTCAGCCTGCCTTGGGCAGCCCCCCTTCCTGTGCATTCTGCAGCCCAGTGTCCCTGACTCTGTGATCACCTGCCCAGTGGGCTGTCCCTTGGGTTCCTCGCCTTCTCCATAATCACACTTGCCTCTACACTCCCTAAAGGAGGGGCAAGAACACTATCCATCTGTCTACTCAAGCCTGACACTTGCCTGAAGTGGCCTTCAATGCCTCCTTGCCTGATGGTCTCCAGACCAACTGACGAGCACCTTCTGCATCTTTGTCCTCTTGTGGTCCCTGGATAGCTCCTGCAGCCAGTCCCTCATCAGCTCAAGCTCCATGACACACTAGTCTGCAAGGCCACCCTGTCCCTTCCCACTAAGGCTTCTGCACACCTGCTGCCATCACTGTCTAGACAGTGAACCTCCTATTATGCAGTTGATTGGAGCGTCCATGGCTCCCTGACCTAGACCACGGCATCCCAGGGCACACTACGCCTCATTCTAGCCAGACCTTCTGGCATGACATATCCTGCCTGGAATGCCTTCTCATGCCCCTGTTTTCTTCCAACACCTAGGAAAATCCTGCTCTTCCTCAACACCCAGTGTGGTGTCACTTCTTGTGAAGTCTGTGGGCTCCGGATCACTAAGTGAGCTGGCCACTCCCTCCCGTGCCCATCTGTGTTTCCATCCCATCCTGTGTCTAGGTGCAGGGTGAGACGACTAAGCAAGGGCCGTATGTCATTCATCCTCAGATCCTCTGAATCTGATGTTCACCATGTGACCCCTACAATAGGGGTGTCTGAGAAAAGAAACCCAAAGCCAGGCAATGTAGCCATGGCTGCACAGTGAATACTCGAGGCCTCATGGTCTCTCGCCTTTCCTGATCCCTTGGCTCTGTGTTCCAAGCCAGCAGCATTCTTCCTGCTGCTGGGCCACCCAGAGTTTCCTATGGAGCCCCAGTTCCTTATCACTGGGGGTCTCTTTCACAGCTATCTACAGGAGAAGCTGGGGTGAGGGGCCCTGGCTGTCACTAAGTGTGATGTGACTCCCTATCCCACTCGGCCTCCCTTTCAGAGGGCTTGAGCCAGCAAGCTGGGTGCTAGCATGACTGCATGAACAGCCCACTGGGAAACACATGCTTTCCCACTCTGGGGCACTGTGACCAAACCTCTTTGTCAGGTTGGATGCTTTCAGGCTCTCTCTTGCCCCCAATCACTCCTCCAGGCGGCTGACCCCTCACTTCCCACATACTGGCTCCTCTCTGGCCCTGCAGGCCTTACCTTGCAATTGGGCTTGCAGTCTGCAGCCAATAGGATGAGGGGGAGAGAAGAGACGTGGTGAGCAAGTGAGGGCAGCGACCTGGCCCTCAGTGCCCACCCAAGCCCCGCCCTCACCATGGTTGATGAAGGCGGCAGGGCCCAGCCACAGCTGTGCGCTCCGCTTTCGGGTAGAGTACATGATGCTGAAGTCATTCTCCCCAGCCCTCAGCAGCCCCTCGTCCTCCTCCCGAAGCTCTGCAATGCAGCCCACCAGCAGCTCCAACTTTTCATTCTTCTTCCTGCCAAGAGGCCAGGGCACAGGGCTCTGAGCCCACCTCTGCTGGGGGCGGCCTCTTGCTCTAGAGGGATCCAGGAAGCTGAGGCTCCAGCCTACGGACTCCAGGGGGCAGTGCTAGTCTCTCAAATCCTCCCAACTCCCGACCTATCTGGGCTGCACCTCCAGCAGAGGAGCTGGTCTCCCTTCCCTGCAGGCCCTTTTACCAAGCACGGGTGGACACAATCTTGGCCCCGTTGGTCTCCATGGAGTAGCGGGTGCAGGGCAGGATGGTGAAGCCGCTTTCGGGCAGGAAGGAGCGGAGGTAGCGAAAGACCTATGAGGTGTGGGGTACGGAGTGAGGAGATGAGAAGGGGCAGCTGTGGGGGCTCCTGTGCTCTCTGAGGCTAGGCCTGCTCTACCACTGACTGGCTGTGTGCTCTGGGGCTTTGTATCCCCTCTTGGGGTCTCAATTTCCTCATCTGTCAAAGAGGTAGGACTCTTAGAGGGCTGTTCTCCAAGGATTCTCTGAGTCTCCTCAGGTGTCCCAAGGGTGGGCATTAGGGCCACAGGGGGCTGGGAGGAGCTCCCTCACGTGGATCTTGAGGGCAGCCTCCTGCCGCGGGCCCCGGCTCTGGAAGTAGTGGGCCATCCAGCCTCCCAGCGTCAGGGCCCGATATGCAGCCTCCAGGTCCCGCTGCCTCAGGAAAGCTTCCAGCGCTGAGCGCAGGTGGTGCTGTCGCCGCAGGGGGGGGACAGGGCTGGGGGAGAGGGCACACCTGAGTCCCAGGGCCTTCCTGGCCTTCCTGGTTGGTGCCCCCAACCCACCTGGAGCTGCGAGGATGGGCTGAGGCCACCAAGGAGCAGGTCTCACCCACCCTACCCTTGCCCCCAGGCCACCTCACCTTACGTTCATTTTATGGGTTCGGAAGCCGAGGTAGGGATCCAGGACTAGGCTGGTGGCCAGGTCGTCGTTCTCACACAGTTCTCGGGCTGTCACTCTGTCGGGCCCCATGGTGCTGCAGGGACCATGCTGCCTCTGGCAGACCACAGAGGGCACCAAGGAGCTACAGGCGGGGGGCGTGCCCTGAGCCACTCAGAAGCTGCCTGAGACACTGGGGGGCCCTGCAGTCTGCTCATCTGTAGAATGGAATGTGAGAACAGCAGCACTGACTTCACAGGGCTCTCAGAGGGTGAGATGCAACAAGTATTTTGACAATGGGGACACCCAGTGACAGATCAGCCTGCAGCTTAGCACCTCCACCCCTCCAGCTCTGCAGTGCAAGAACGAACCCCCAAACTCACACAACCTTCCCTGCAAACACACACCCTTGCAGGCCTCCTGAACATGCAGAGCCCACTGGGTGGCAGGCAGACAAGTCCCTGTGGGCTCAGGGAGGCTGATTAATTGGAGTCTGGGATAACTCTAAAAAGCTCAGCACGGCAGGAGGCAGGAGTCAGGGGAGCTTGGGAAGAAGCCAGTGTTCCCAATATGCCCAGGACCCACCTTCCCCCCTCCCTGGGCCACTGTCTCCACCATGTACTCCCTAGCAGTCCTCCGGAGAGGCTAGGAGGCTTTGGGTGAAGCCCCAGGCAGCCAGGAGGGGAAGAGGGGAGGGAGAGCAGGCGGGGTCTCAGCACCTGTGCCCTCTCCAAGGATGTGGGTGCTCAGAGGACAAAAGTGGGGGAGGAGGAAAGGAATTTAGTACAGAGAAGTGGAACAGATCAAAAGAAGGGGGAAAAGGAGCAAGGATGAGAGAAAACGAAGAGATTAAGAAAAGCAACAAAACAAACCCTAACTCTGAAGGAGGGTCTGCTGTGTACCCATACCATGATGCCTCAGGCCCATCTGTGTCTTGGGAGAGGGGTAGATGGGGACCGACCGGCAAGGAGGGGGAGCAGCAGAGACATCAGAAGCTACATCAGCTGGGAGAGGGGTCTGGAAAAGACAGGAAGGCTGGGGGCAAAAGAAGAGGGGGTACTGCAGGAGCGCACTAGGAAAAATACAGAGGCTGGAGCAGCATGTGGGTAAAGAAAAAATAAAGCCAGGAGGAAGGGCAGGGGGAAGGAAGAAGAGCTCCTGCGAGGGCCTGGGGTGGGGGGCTTCTGGGAAGTGCTGGGGCAGGCCTGGGGGTCCAGGAGGAAGCCCAGGAAAGCGAGGGGAGATTTAGAGGCCTGGGATCCCTGGGATCCCGGGGCAAACCAGGCAAAGACATGGGAATCTAGGGTGGAGCCTGGGGAAGAACGGGGTTTGGAAAGTCTGGATGCTCCCAGGAGGCGAGGGAAGGGCCTGGGGAATGCCTGGGGGGTCCTAGGGAGAAGCCTGGGAAGGCACTGAGGGTCCAGTGGCAGGGCCTGGGGGTCCAGGAAGGGCAAGTGGAGGATCTGAGGGCGATCCGAGGTCCCGG